GTGGTTCTGCACTTAATGCTCCTCAACCTTCTGTCCGAGGGGAGCAGTGTATGTGCTGGGTGAGTGGGGTCCTTCATGATGCAGGTGGCCTTCATACTACATCTGGAGGTGTAAATGTCAGTGATGGTGGGGAGACTGACTCCAGCAGTCTTCTGTGCATCCTTCACCACTCTCTGCAGAGCTTTTCTTTCTGCAGCTGTGCAGCCTCCATGCCACACATTGATGCTGGAGCACAGGATGCTCTCCACTGCACACCTGTAGGAGGTGAGGACTGAGCTTCCCAGACCAGCTCGCCTCAGTTTTCTCTGTCTGAAGTCCACGATCATCTCCTTTGTATTCTTCACATTGGTGTGAAGGTTGTTCTTCCTGCACCAGCTCTCCAGGTGTTGCACCTCCTGCCTGTAGCTGGACTCATCGTTGTTTGTGATGCATCCCACAACTGCAATGAATAAAAGAAACTGTAATAAACAAAAATACATGTATCAACTTTTTTGGGGCAAAAAACACAATTTATGGTGACTGGAAGCTTTCATGTACTTTCCACTGGCATAAACTGGCACTCCTGTGTTTGTGTGCCATCATCACCTCAGCAGAACAGACGCTTCTTTTTTGCATCATCTTTCTTGTTTCCAAACTGAGGTTAAGACAGGAGGATGCAGGAGGAGCTGTTTCTAAATGACCGCACCAAATATTAATCTAATGCCATCTGTCAGTTGTGTCCCATCTTTGCTCACTGCATAAATTAGTGAAATTGCTCTTTTGTCCTTTTCTTTCAACTCCCATGTTTGTATCAAACTTAACAAAAACTGGTGGTCACACTTTTTTTTCCATAGCCCTGAATAAATTTGCAGAGTTGCTACTTTATGACCTGGAAATTTCGAAGGTACTGTAGCTCAATTTTTTTTTAAAATTGGATTTGAATTTATCTTCCATCCATCCATCCATTATCTTTACCCGCTTATTCCGTTTTGGGTCACGGGGGTCGCTGGTGCCCATGTCCAGCAATCACTGTGCG